TATGCCATTGGCAGTGGCGGTTTCTGTTGTGCGACTTGAGAGATAATGGTTTGATTTGCAGTGTTTTTGTGTCAGAAATCCATGGTTTAGGTACGTCTGAAAATCATGTGGAATAAAGAAGTGGTCATTTTTTTCTGCGGGGGATTACTACAAGAGAACTGGCTGAAACACACCTCCTGACATTTAAAGTCTTGTAAATCGATGGTCTGCTTTTGCCTCAAACGCGCGCTTCAAGTGGTCATTACAGTCCTTGGCAAATGGCTCATCTCCTTATGGATGGTCCTGGAGCCGAAATTCTGTTTTCCAATCCTCGAACTATAGGGCGTTGTAGAAAAAGGTTTCAGGAAAAATACGTCAATTCCATTGTGATTTACACCCCACTACTTCCTAATATCCCACAAATTTACTTCGTACTTGGGTATACCCTTATCACAATGGCTATGATAATTGTCGGCATCCTTATTGTGTTTCACTTTAACAGGGAAGTTAAAATGTATTTTATAGATATGACAAGAAAGACTAAGACCTGCGGTGTTTATAACGACACACTGGAAGAGGTTTCAAAGTGGATTAACGAAATGCGATCTCCAGGACAACTCACTCCGATGCTTCTTAGTGGCCTTCCAGGAAAAATGCAGCGCGGAAATAGCAATGTTGGCTCCGAAAAGATGCAGCCCCGTCACATCTCCTACTACATGCCCAGCAAATCCAAACACAACAACTTCACCAGACGTGGCACCGTTGTTCGAATGAACCTGTCCTTTGCGCACGATTTGGCCTCCTTTGTATCAATGGTTGACGGGAAAATATAAAACTGTTCTTACAATGGCTAGATACATTTTCTAATTGAAGATGTTCACAGAGGGGACGACACAAGTTACTTCATGATTATGCACACGTGTTCATCGAGGGTATTTAACCTATTTACTTTAGGCCAGCCCCAAATTTTACCACTACGAAGTCACAAGCTCACTATTTAGCCACAGGTAATTCACCTCCAGGGTCGATGTCATATTTGTTTTCCTTGATATAAGGTTTGCCTTTCCCTGCCAACTCTAGCTTCATTTTGAATTTTGAATTGTTCATGCCTCTCAAAACCTGGCTTTATATTTTTAAAATAAGAACATTCACCTTAGTGGAACGGTTGATCCCTCTCACCTTCAGTGGGTGGTTTTAAGTCCATAGACCGTAGCATAAATTCACAAGTTCTATAAGCCTAAATTTTATTTTGAGGTCATGCAGATACCAACGCAACAATCCACGCAATCTCGTTTTCGTATGCAGCATTTATCTTCGGGCCCTCCTGTAAGATATGCTCACCTCAGGTTGTAACGTCAGCACCAAATAATACAAGGAATGTAAGAAAGGACCTAACTGATAATCGAGTCGCTGGGGCCATGGGGTGGGGCTGCGCTCCTCGGCTATTCTACTAGGGCTGGCAAGGTAGAGCATCAGCGTACCTCAAAATATGCATACCTAAGCAAGTAATGGAAAACAGGGTTTTTCACAGAATATGCAAAAAAAATTCAAGATTTAACACGTGTAGCATTTACGCACATGGGTCAGCTAAAGC